ATATAATATTTTCAACCAGTTAATAAAATGGTTCCAAATCCAAATTTATGCAGGGTTGCAAATAAAAATTTCCAATTTACTCAAATGCTTTTTCTGCATCTAGAGACAAAATAGTCATTTCAATATTTTTACTGTATGAATAGTCTATTAAATTATATAATCTACGTGAGTGTGTAGTCGAGTGCCTTCCTTTTATGAAACCGGTTTGGTCAGGATGAACTAAGAAAGGAATTATCTTCTCTAATCTTTTAGAGAGAKCTTTACAATTAAATAACAATTTAATGAGTAACTTTAATGAACCGTTGCTTTCAGTCTCTCAGCATGAGCTCCTTGCATTGCCATTATGACAAAACACTTCGAATGACAGCCGTTGTGGACATCAGCTTGGAAGTGATTTAGCTCATTTGTCTTCACAGATCAGCTGCAACTCTGACATTTTGGCAGGTTTCCTCGCATGGCCCACTAACTTCCTGTACTTCCACAYATTTTTGTTTTATTACACAACAGTCAGGACTTTCACCTGGCTTTTCATAAACTTTATACTTGAATGASAGCTGATTTTGTGGCTTCAGATTGAGTATGCATTGTGAGGAAATAGAAACCTTCTGATCATTTTGAGACATTTATTAGACTTTATGAACAGCTGTTGACCGGTAGTCTCAACTTTCAAAACTGACTTTAAAACACAATCTTAAAACGTCAGGTTTGAGTGCATATTACTCACTCATTTTGAGCACTTAACTGGTGCAGCTCTTGTCTAAAATGAATCTTATCACTATAAGCTTACATTAAAGCTCAAAAGGTGTAAAGATGTAATTTGCACGTTAGAATTGGATCAATAAACCGATTCTCCTTGTCGCTCTTTCAGCCGTCCTAATCCCATTCAGCGTGTCATGACACACTCAGAGCTGCACAGTTCATATCCTGTTCTGAACCCCAGTCAAACTTTGCTTTACAGATAAACACACACTGAGGCGTCCTCCAGCTTTRATGACAGCGGTCACGGAGTCAGGCTGGGAGGCAGCCAATCAGCAGGAGGGCTGTTGAAATCAGCTCTACTGTGGTAAAGGCAAATTTTAATCTAAATGCAAATGTCTGTCATCCACGCAGTCTGAAGTGAATCTTCGACTTGTGTTTTTGATTTGTTTTGATTTTTTTATCCCCCTTCTGTGTAACACATTAGACTGCTTAAACACTCTCCAACGTTCATGTGGATTTAAAGAAAAATCTATTTTCGCAAGTCACAGGCTTTTTGACGAATATTAGGGTAACATAAGGACAACGACCACAGCAGCACTCTGTGTGCACGTGTGTGTTTGAGTGTGTGTATGTGTGTGTGTGTTTGAGTGTGTGTGTGTGTGTGAACTAACCAGACACTCCAAAAGCCGTGCAGGTCGGGAGATGATGATGAGGAGCTTTTTCACCAGCTCTGTGACGAAGGCTACCTCAGAGCTCTCAGAGCGCTCATATGCCTGACACAAAAACACAGAGACAAGCACAGGATGTATCCTTTTAGATGCTTATTTACCAAAAGAAGGACAAAAAGATGGTAATTAAAAGCAATTAGAAATATAAGAAAAGCTTATTAGAAAAAGACAGAAGGAGGCACAAAAAAGACAACAATGACTAATCAAAGAAATCAAATCAAGTCAGCTGATGAAAATCTTTGATACCTGTTAATCTTCACTGACAAATCCCAAGCTCAGTTAGCTTCTTTTATTCACACCTGAACCAATTCACTAAAAATATGTGATTTGTCTGAATGAAATAAAAAGGCTTAAGCTGCATCTGTCTTCTGATTATTTGTTGTAGCAGCAAAAATACTTTAAACAGCAGAAGAGGTCTTTCATAGCATGCTAGACTAGCTGTACTGCCTATAAAAAACATTGGTTAAAGGGGCAATATCATGTAAAATCAACTTTTTTGAGTTTTATAACATGTTACAATGTTATACTCTCATAAAAAACATGCCCAAAGCCTTGCTTTGACCCATTCATGCATGTTTGAGAAATTCTGCAACGTTTTTAGGCAGCCATGCTGAGGAGCAAAACGACAGGTGGGGACCAGAAACACCTCTGGGACGTGTCTTTAAGCCGAGCTTCCTCATGGMGGAGCACCACCCCCYYCCCCTCCCCACACCTTGCCCATGACTCCTGCAGACTCTTGAGTGAAAGTGAAAGTGAAACTTAAACTTTCTGCTGAGCTCTCAACATTACTTCTCACTCAGTGAAGCTCTTTTCAGATTAAAAATACCTTTGAGGAAATGTATTTTCAACAGTGGTGGGCAGCACTAATCCAAAAATTTGTTGCACTAACCCTAAAGCACTAAATTAAATATTTAGGTCCCCTAATTCTAAAGCCCTAACACACTCAAAAATTTAGCAAAAGCTAATTTGAAAGCTCTAAAAACCCAGCTGACCCATGGAACATTCCTCAGAGTCAACATGAGACAATATTTACTGTGTGCAGAATATTAATATTTCATCTCATGTAGTGGTTCCCAAAGTTGGGGTCGGGACCTCTGTGTGGGCCACAAAACATCAAGTGAGGGTCCCCAGATGATTTCCAGACATCAATTTAAATGCAAAAAAATGCTAATGGAATGTTTTCATCATGATTATTGCAATTTTTTAAAAATAATTATAAATGAATAAAAATTTGTATCATAGTTACTAGGTTTGTTTGTAGTTATTATTCCCATGTTTAACAGAGTTATTAGCTAAGTTTACATACATAAACGAGTAATAAATGGGGTCATGAGTGTCTGCATCTGTTATTTTGCTGGTCGGAAGCAAAAAAAGTTTGAAAACCACTGATCTAGTGAAGTGTCCAACATGTCTGACAGCTTTCACCCTCAGCTGTTGACAATAATGTTGATCAATAACATTTAAAGAACTAAATTAGTGCTTTTAAATTTAACTAGTGCTAATCCACGAATGAATTAAGAAATYAGCAAAAGCGCTAAAGCACTAATCAGAAAATTAGTTCCCCTATTAGTGCTTTAGGGGGACTGTGCCCACCACTGATTTTCAGATGCCAAGTAAACTGCATCATAGCAGCCCCCCTGCGAGCATGACCCCCCCCACCCCGCACCGCACCGGAAGGAGGTTCTTAAAGAGACAGAGGCCAATTTCAAGGTGTTCAGAAGAGCAAGTGATGAGAAGATAAGCTTATTTTCTATTTAAACATAAAAACAGCATTTTAATAACAGCTAAAGAGGCTGGTCAAGGCAGATGGCCACCTGTCCTGAGCCTGGTTCTGCTGGAGGTTTCTTCCTGATTAGCAGGGAGTTTTTCCTCTCCACCGTTTGCTCAGGATGTGAGACTGTGATTAAGTGATTCAACGCAGCCTACTGGTTTCTTCTTTAGATTATTCTTTTTATGTACAGTGCCCTGAGACAACATATGTTGTGACTTGGCGCTATATAAATAAACTTGAACTTGAAATTGAACTTGAACTAAAGGTGACATACTGTAGATACTTTATTATGGTATAGTATTTAAATGAATGCCTGAGAAACACATAATATTGCCCCTTTAACATTCTCAAAACATGAGTTGTCAAACGTAAAAAACATGAAATTATTTCTTGCTTTGTTTTTTTGTTTTTAATTAGACCTTACTTAGAATTAATTTAAAAAAAGATAAATGGAGGTTAATAGTCAATTGGTGGCTCCTGGGCCATGTCTGGTAAAAGTTATCAGTCTATTGACTTGGAATTTTTTTAAAATAATTTTAAAATTACACAAGATTTAAAACTGGAGTTGTCTTAGAAGGGGTTCATGACAAGAGTGCCTTAGCCAAAGACTGTAAAAATATTGTAGGCCAGGGCTATTCAATGTCGGCCCGTGGGCCCGATGTGGCCCGCCAGTGATCAAAGTTGAGCCCGCCAATTGGTTCATTCATCTCTTAAGCATAAACACCCGGTTTTCTACTTTAATTACTCAATTAAATTACTTAATTACTTAAATTGCTTAAATACTTGATTGCTTAATTAAGTTATTTTAGTTAAACACAGACATGTTTGGTATCTACAGAAACATCAGAATCTTGGCTAGAAGCTGGTAAAGCCATTTCTATGCATACTCAAGACAGTTAACATTACAAGCTGTTGAAGATAAAAAGATGAAAGTGAGGATAAAATTGGTTTAAAAATTTGTCAAGTCAGAGATTTTAAAATAATATTTGTGTCAAACAGGAGGTAGAATGTCTTGTTTTTGATTTTGATATTGTTTATTTATCACTACTTTATRGRGTTCTGTATRTTGTATTCATGATTAAATACAGCAAAATAAACTATTTCAAAGCTAACAGATCTTTGTAATACTTGGTTTATTTAYRTAATAACTTTAATTTAACCTCTCCAGTCTACATGTGGACCTCAGTAAGGTTTATGACCATGTTCCTCACATTATGAAGCAACTTCTCCAGATTCTCCTGCAGCTCAAAGAAGTAGACGGAGGTGATGAGGCCCTCGCGGGATTTGGCCAGGCAGTCTCTGGACAGCTCAGCGATCTGGTGATGGATGAAGCTGAGCACACCGTCAGCCAATGGTAGAACATTCTCCGGAGAGAAAGCCTGGATGAACTCAGACAGCCTCTCCTCCATCTGTGCTGTGGCCTGAGGGATGGTTAGTGTCAGGGAGCAGGAGCAAAAACAAGGCAGCGGAGAGCAGAATGAATGAATATTTACTGTATACGTATGGATCCTTTAACGTGTATACAGTACATGGGCATCCTTAATGATGACTAAGCTAAAAAAAATATTTGAAAGGTCTCAGAGATTAATATTAAATGAAAGATTTTGAATATTCATTCACTTATATCAACACTTGCTCTTTGTCAACAAATACTTTTACAACCAAAGAACTTCCTATAAACTACAGCCTGATTTTTTTTATCACTGCTAAAGTTTTCAGCTCATTTCCTCTTCATGWATGGCTGATAGGATAAGAAAGATAATTAGGCTTTCATTTAACTGTTCATTTATGTGCTTGAAAATAAACATATTGTTTCTGACAGGATGAAAGGGCTTGATAGCATTAGATTACACAATAGGATGAGGTTTAATCAGGCTCTGCCCCTCATTTTTGTTTGGATGTCTGATTTCAAACGTGTGTGTACAGACAAATCCCTGAACGCAGTCAAGAATAAATTAGATGATATTTTTACTAAAAGATGGATGGACCAAATGTGAGTGGTTCTTTTTTATTTGTGTGTTTTACCTTTGGAAAGCGTTCTTTGTACACGTGGTTCATCATCACTATCTCATTATCATAGCAGGCGGAGGAGCGTCCTGGGCTGAAGGGAAAAGCAAATAATCAAGTTGAAACTTTTATCGAGCAAAAAGCAACTGCCTAAAAAGGGGGTCAAAGATTTTTGGGAGCTCTAAAATACTCTGCTTTTACTTCAGGCACTAGATATCACAGTTTCAGTGTCAGGTTTATCTCCTACCTTAAACCAGCCTAATAAATCTAACAAACCCTTTATAACTCAGATTAATTACCTCCAAAAGTCTCTGGCTGAGGTATGATCTGTCCAGTCCAACCAAACTTTGATGGATTTACGGTAAATGTTGACTTTGGCAAAAATCATTTAACTGAATTGAACTGGTTTAGACTGTTCATAAATCAAACTATAGATGTGTAGCATTTCAGAGCTAAACAAAATGATGACATAAGAAGTTAGAGTACGACGTTACTTTCTCATGTCGACTCTTTCCTAAAATAATCGCCTAAGTCATTTTTTTTCAGTTTGTCATGAATCTCAAAAAAAAAAGTTTTAAGGTACATTTTGATATGAAGTTTTTTGTGTTTTCTGAATAACATGAAAAAAAACTATTTAGGTGATAATTTTATGAAGGTGTTGATGTTCAACTTAAATGAGCTTTGTATCAGGTTTATTGTTAGCACTCAGAGCATGTTTTAGCTTACTCTCAGCTACTACCATTCAGCTCAGTATCAGCAAAAATGACTGAGTCGTAGCCATTTTTTGTGTTTACTAATGTTAATTAGCCGTGCTGGGCGGCACATTGGCTCAGTTGGTAGAGCTGATGCTTCTCAGCAAGAAGGTCGCCGGTTCAAATTCCAGCCYGGGGACCTTTCTGGGTAGAGCTTGCATGTTCTCTCTGTGCATGCGTGGGTTCTCTCCGGGTACTCTGGCTTCCTCCCACAGACCAAAAACATGACTGTTAGGTTAATTGATAACTCTAAATTGTCCCTAGGTGAGAGTGAATGTTTGTCTCTATGTGTGTCCCTGTGATGGATATGGGCACCAGTGACCCCCGGACCCTAAAAGGAAGAAGCGGGTATAGATAATAGATGGGTGGATGGAATTAGCCGTGGTTGGGCTGCCATCTTGAATCAGGGGACCTCTAAATCTTAATAAGTTGTAGATGAAATAATTTGCTTTCTTAGTTTCATTCAAATTTGTCCAATAATTCAAGAAATATTTTGCTAACAAACACACACACTGCTACATGCACTCATTTTCATGGTGGCATACCCTAATTAAGAAAAACATCTCAAAAGTACGATAACCTCAACATCATGAAAAACATGTTTAAATTTAGTCTAGGATGTTTTGAATACAGTTCGTTGAATACAGTTTGTTACAAAACCAGCAAAACCAGACAAAAAAGTAAAAATGAGATTAAATGAAAGAGAAAAAAAGATCTAATCCTCTAAATCTACTTTGGAAAAGAGGATAGTGGTTTTTGGCAGCGGCCCCTGATGATGCTGCTGACCTGAGACTGCGGGAGCGTGGGCGCATGTGGGGGGAGCAGCGGCCCCCATCGTCGTCTGGGATGCTCTCTGTGCTGCCAAAGTGCTTGGATAAGAAGTGGAGCTCGTCCATGGTGGGCTGGGAGGGCAGCTGGTGCAGCCGCTCCTGAGAGGAGCTGGAGGACTGGAGTGAGACGGGAGGACAGGAAGAGAGGGGGAATGTTTGGGGAAGTGGAGGAGGAGTTGGAAACACCAGAAAGCATAAATGACTGTCAATAACATGTGAAGAAATGGCATCCAGAGACTGCGGCACAATAAGAGAGGCTCTGACAGCTGTGTAATTACAGCCTCCTCGTTCCTCGTGCTTCAGAGACTGAACTGAAATGGTAAAGACTCATGAATCTGTCCATCATCCAAACTTTGTGTCTCTGCTTCATTTGAATCCATCAGAGCAAAGAGACCTGGACCCCGTCCAATTACCTGTCTGAGGGACAGACACATCACAGGTGACAAGCTAATGGAAAATATTCCGACCGGAAAAAGACTGGATTGAAGCTTAGAGACTCAATTTCTTTGTGTATTTCCTGTCAAGATATGCATTTTAATTGCATCAATGTTGGTTTTATGTGTGTCAGTTTTGAAGTGTTTTGCATCTTGTAACACATTTTCTGTCACATTTCTGTTCTTTTAGTTACCCTGGGATTCCTGTCTCTAAGCTGTATCTCAGTATTTTTACAAAGAGCACGGAGAAAACGTTTGTATAGACAGAGATGTAATGTGATTGTATTGTATTTGTTTTTTTTTTAACATTTTGTGGCACTTTTCTGGAAAAAACTTCTTACAAAAAAAGGSATGCCAATGAATGGTATCAATTAGTTGCATGAAATTTATGCTACGCCTTTTGTTTGGAAGTCTATTAGGATATCTGATATTCCAGGGWATGTAGCGTGACTTCCAGTAATGCTAAGCTGCTCTAGACTTTATTGGTCATGTTGAACTCTGTAGCATGAACAAATCAACTTTAAAACATCACCATAATAACAAATGTTACATAACTGTGACCCAACAATACCACCACACAAGCTATGCTAACTCTTTGTCTGCACTGTCAATGTACCATAGTGTACTTACGGTAGTTTTATACACACATATTAGACGTTACCGTAATCTGTCTCATTAGCACAAGTTAAAAGTATTCACATTAATTCCTCAGGTAGACGTACAGACCTTAAGTATGACATTCTTGATATCATGTGGTTGCTGCTGCTYAGAAATAATTGCTGGAGTACTTGTGTTGTTGTATAAATAACAAGGCGTCAGTTTGGTACTGATTGTGTCACATAACGTGTATCAACACAAAACCAGCTTTTTCTAATTCTCGATTCCACAAACATGGAAATGGAAGAACCTGATGTGCCAGCTGCTGCTGTTGTGGTTTGGTTTGRACATTTCTTGAAGACAAGGAGACCAGAAAACCAATTGCTAAACCGAGATCTGCCTCTAGCAATAAAAGGAACAAGAGCCAGAAGGTGGTAGGACCAGCGAATGCAGCATCATTTTATACCCACCTAAAAACGCAACACAGCAGAAACATCACAAGTAAGAACTAAAAAAAAAACATACCAATTAAAAAACTAAASGGCATAATGAGAACGTAGCATACACTACTACAAAACATTTAACCCAACCAGTGTATACACAATACATGTTACAGGAACTGATCATTAAGGTTGCTTCATTCTATTTTTTATTAACGGTGTCTGGCTGAATTTAGCCTCTAGTTGAATTAYTCTAAACAGCATGCGCTCTACTTTGTACCATTCTCCTCTTCCTCTGTGTTTGTTTTTTTCATGCTCTCGCCGCCTGGCACTCATTGTTTTCCCCACTCTCCTCCTGCTTTCATCCATCAAACTGTCCAATGACAGATGGAGCGACAAGCCAGACCTCTTATGTTACGCAAGAACTGACTCACCAATGAAGATGCATGAAAAGGACACGTGTTTAGCCGGAGATAAAGTTTAAATTTATTATCAAAGTCATGCACTGAGTTTCTGAGTTATTTGGTATTTGTATTATGTTAATTATCCAGGTTATTCTCTACAGAAACAATGATTCAGATGATGGTGTTGGATCTGTTAATCTGGCTCTTTAGGTTTACTTTCTCTGTGCTAGGGTCAGATTACAGTGAGTATCATTGCTCTAAAAATTTACGATGCAGATTTTAATATTTGCCACTGCTTATACATGACAATAAGTTTTAAACTCCATTTTTAGTACCGGCCATATCCATTTATTTATACTTTGATATTTTCTAAGGCTTTTATTGCTTCATAGGCTGACTTCTCTACGCAGAGAGACAGAGAGAAGAACAAGAGAGAAATTACCTTCAAGGCTAAAAACAAAATCAAAATCTAATTTTTGTGAATGTGAGAAAATGTGTGTGACTACCAATTTATTTATTCTACTAATATTTAATAATTGATCCAGACTTCATTTGAGTCTTGATCTGTAGTCCTGTGGACCTCTGCTCTAAATGGATAAACACCTGGTTGGTGATCTGGTATTAMAAAAGTGGGAAGTGGTGGAGCAGAGGTTTCAAGATTTGTAAGTTGCCGGTTTGAATCCCCAGACCAKCTGCTCCCCAGAGTCACAGTCTGTCTCTTTTCTGTTTTAGTTTTCTAGTGTTTCTATATTTCCCTGAGTTCTCTGTTGTTCTTCCTGCCCTCCCCTGCTCACCTGATTCCTCCTGTGTCTCCTCCAGGTGTTTCTTGTTGTCTYGTTAAGTTCTCCCTTTATATTCTGTGTCCTGTCTTCAGTGTTTGTCAGATCGTTGTACTGTTTTCACAGTCATTGTGGTGTCTCTCCATGTTCCTCTGAGAGTTCCTGTAAGATTTTGCTGCCATTGCAGCCCTCCTTTGTTTATCATAAATTCTTAATTTTTAGACTTTAGATTTTTGCCTGCGCCTTGGGTTATTCTGCCAGAAACCTCACACTCAGGTGCCTAAAACAGCAGCTCTCTGCTCCACATGTATGATGGGAAAAATGCAGAGAATTAATTTCTCCATAAGGGAATAATTGAGTATATGTATAT